AAAATCTAGTCATACTGCAGATATGTGCTGGAAGAAAATGACCTGCAACAAATGCAAACGAAAGGGTCATATTGCAAAATATTGCAGGTCTTGAGAAATTAATCGGGCTAATTTTTCACAAGAAAAGGAAAAAAAATCTGAAGAAATGGTTTTCTCTTGCCATACTGCTCAATAAGAAAATAATGATGTTTGGGTTATTAATAGTGGTTGTACAAACCACATGGCTGCTGATCCAAATTTATTTCGAGAAATGGATTCATCTGATCCAAATTTATTTCAAGAAATGGATTTATCATATCATGCAAAGATTCACATGGGTAATGGCTCTATAGTGCAAAGTGAAGGCTAATGTACGGTTGTTGTTCAAACAACAGATGGTCCAAAATTTATAACGGATGTTTTGCTGGTACCCGATCTAAGGCAAAATTTGCTAAGTATTGGGCAACTTCTAGAACACGGGTACTCTGTTTATTTTGAGGATTTTTCTTGCAAAATATTGGACCGTAAAAATAATCATTTGGTTGCCAAAATAAATATGGAGAAGAATAGGAATTTTCTATTAAGGATGAACCATCCAACTCAAATGGCTCTCAAAAGTGAAGTCGATATTTCTAATCTATGGCACAAGAGAATGGGTCATCTCAATTACAAAGCACTAAAGCTACTCAGGGCAAAAGGCATGGTTCAAGGCCTTCCATTTATTACTCTAAAATCCAACCCATGTGAAGGTTGTGTGTTTGGAAAACAAATACAAGCTTCTTTCCCACGCAGTGGAGCTTGGAGAGCAAGTGCACCGTTGGAACTAGTGCGCACTTATATAGTTGGTAAAGTGCCAACAATCTCAGAAGGAGGAAATTGGTACTTTATCACATTTATTGATGATTATACAGAATGATCTGGGTATATTTTCTAAAAGAAAAATCAGCAGCCCTGGATATTCAAAAAATTCAAGGCTATGGTGGAAAATTAGAGTAATCGAAAAATTAAAGTATTACGCAACGATCAAGGAGGAGAATATATCTCAAAAGAATTTGAGAAATATTGTGAAAATGTTGGCATTCGAAGATAATTAACGACAGGCTATAGTGCTCAACAAAATGGAGTTGCTAAAAGGAAAAATCGAACAATTAATGGCATGGCAAACTCTATGCTCCAAGACAAAGCTATGCCTAAATCTTTCTGGGCTGAAGCAGTTAACACTGCAGTTTATATTTTAAATAGTAGTCCTACAAAGGCAGTACCAAACCGTTCATCTTTTGAAGCTTAGTATGGTAAAAAGCCTATCATTGGACATATGAGAGTATTTGGTTGCATTTGCTATGCTCAAGTGCTAGCACAAAAGAAAGTAAAATCTGATAATAAAAGTGATTGGTCCATATTTGTTGGCTATGCTGATGGTATCAAACGCTATAGACTTTATAATTTGGAGAAAAAGAACATTATCATCAGCAGAGATGTGATTTTTGATGAAAGTGCTATTTGGAACTGGAAGTCTCCAGAAGCCTCCGGTACTCCATTATTGCCAACCACTACAATCACACTAGGCCAACCACATATGTATGGCAATCATGAAGTGGAAGATCAAACTCCAAGTCAAGATGCATCAAGTCCAAGGTCAAGGTCAAGCTTCAGTTCGGATTCAAGCCCGAGTAGTGAAGAGCAAATTTCTACACCGGAATTAGCTCCAAGATGTGTAAGAAGTATGGTTAAATTATTATAATCTACTTCTCAACAAAGAGGGACAAAACAATATGAATTTTCCAATTATTCTGTTGTTGAGTCACTGTTTTCAAGAAGCAAAAAAAACATAAAAATTGGGTTAAAGCCATGGAAGATGAGATTCGTATGATTGAGAAGAATAATACCTAGGAGTTGGTTGATCGATCTAAAGATGGAGAAGTTATTGGAGTTGAAATGGGTTTATAAGACAGCTAAATCCAGATGGCTCAATTCAGAAATATAAAGCAAGACTTGTGGCAAAAGGCTTTATGCAAAAGCCTGATATTGACTACTATGAGAAATATGCTCCTGTTGCAAGGCTAGAGACAATTCGTACAATAATTACTCTAGCAGCTCAAAACAAGTGGAAGATATATCAACTTGTTGTGAAATCGGCTTTCTTAAATGGCTATCTTGATGAAGAAATTTATGTTAAACAACTTGAAGGGTTTTTAGTTCAAGGGGGAGAAAACAAAGTATTCTGACTTAAGAAGACATTATACAGATTAAAGCAAACACCTAGAGCATGGTACAGTCAAATTGATAAGTACTTTATTCAAAAAGGATTTGCCAAGAGCATAAGTGAGGCTACTCTATATGTCAAGAGGCTAGATATGGACATTTTAATTGTCTCACACTCTCACTATATGTTGATGACGATATATACCAGTAATAGTGAGAAGATGATGCAATATTTTAAAAAGGACATGATGAATACATATGAGATGAGTGATATGGGCTTGTTGCACTATTTCCTAGGAATGGAAGTGCATCATAGTACTGAAGGGATATTTATATCACAAAGAAAATATGCAGAAAATATTCTGAAGAAAATTAAGATGGATAACTGCAAGTCAGTTACAACCCCTTGTTGCCAAATGAAAAGCAAAAGGCAAGAGATGGTGCTGATAAAGCAGATCCAACAATTTACAGAAGCTTGGTTGGAAGTTTATTATATTTGACCGCAACACGACCGGATATTATGTTATTATGTTTGCGGCAAGTTTATTATCAAGATATATGTTTAGCCCAAGTCAGTTAAATTTTACTACTGCGAAGAGAGTTTTGCGGTATATCAAAGGGACCACAGGTTATGTTATATGGTACAAGCCAGTTAAGAATTAAAATTAATTGGCTACACGGATAGTGATTGGGCTGGATGTCTTGATGATATGAAGAGCACATCCGGATATGCCTTCTCACTTAGCTCAGGTATATGCTCCTGGTCAACAAAGAAACAAAATATTGTTGCTTTATCTTCAGCCGAAGCAGAATATGTAGCAACATCAAAAGCCGTGTCACAAGCTGTTTGGTTAAGAAGAATTATGGAAGACATAGACGAGAGGCTTACACAAATTTATTGTGACGGTCAATTTGCAATTGTTATCGGTGAAAATCCAGTCAATCATGACAGGACAAAACACATTGTATCCGGGAAACAGTTGATCGCTAGGAAGTTAAATTGCTATCGGTGAAAATCCAGTCAGTCATGAGCAGTTGGCAGATATATTTGCCAATTCTTTATCCAAAGAAAAATTCATCCACGATTGAGAAATGATTGGAGTATGCATGAAGTGAATTAACGGGGAGTTTGATAGAGTTAATTCACTTCTATAAACTAGTAATATGCCCGTACTAAACGCTACGGTGCAATTTCATTTCTCTTTAATAATTTTTAGAATTTCATGTTAGCAAAAAAATATTTTTATATGATCTATGCATTTGAACTTTAATTCAATTCATATCGTACATAAAATATATTTCATGTAAAGTGCAGAACTATGATATTGCGTGGGCACAATAAAACTTTACAAGGTGAGGCCCACATGTAAGTGATAAGAGAAAAACTAAAAAGCGTAGGGCCCACTTGTTAGCCCTATTCTCCCTCTCTATCCTTTCCCCCAAAAAAACAGCAGAGCAAGCGGAGACGGCGGCGATGGCAGTGGTGCGGGTGATGGCAGTGGTGCGGTGGATGGCGATGGCGGTGGTGCGGGCTGTCTGCGGTGCATTATCCATTTAAGTTGTATGGATAACCATATAAAAAAATAATCCAGAACAATTTTGTAAGCATATATATATATATATATATATATATATATATATAATACAGACCATAATTACAATCTCAAATGACAGCCTAGTGCAAACTGACGCATCTAGTGCGAGATAGTATGTAGAAGATAATCACACGACATTCCATATAAAAGGTGATGGCGTGCTGTACAAAACAAGAGGACGATGGTGAGTAACATTCCGATGAGCAATTTACTATATTCTGCAATATTTTTTTGAATTAATTTAGATCATGCGAACCTACCTTTGCTCACCAGTCAAGAACATCTTTATACACGATATTTCTAGTGCTCTTCCCTGTTGAATCAACTTCTTTCTTTGGCTTTGCCAAAATCCTTGTTGTTAGCCTTGACACACCCCTTGACAATGCGACATATAGGTGACCATGTGAAAACACGGGCTCTGGAAGATAGATCCCAACATTTGGGATGGTTTGTCCTTGTGATTTGTTAATGGTCATTACGAAACTAAAACGTATTGGGAATTGCTTCCTCTTGAATTTGAAAGGTAGAGATATATCGTCGGAGGGAGACAAAGGGATCCGTGGGATAAACACCCTTTTGCTGGCATGTTGTCCACCAACAATCTCAGCATCAATTGCATTATCTTGAAAAGCTCTAACCATTAGTCTAGTCCCGTTGCACAATCCATTATTTGGATTAAGGTTGCGAAGAAGAATCACGGGACAATTGATTTTTATTATTAGCTCGTGTGGTGGGAGACCATTTAGAGTAATAGAGTTAAGGTAGTCTAGAGGATAGCTATTGTGAGGGTCATCATCAACAGAGTCAAAGCTGTGATTAACCTTGGCCTGCCCTGGAAATCTGTCAATCATATTAACATTCAGCTTGTCCACATAATCATTTTTTGTGGATACAATGGCACGTGTGCTCATATAAGATGCAGAGCTTGCATTCTTTTTATCATCAAACGAGGGAAACACATGATTAATCAATTCGTGTACTAAATCCTCGCTATCCCCATAAGCAATCACAATTTCATCAGGCAAACGAACATTATCATTTCTGATAGTGTTTTCAGTGCCATTTCCAATTCTAAGGAGATATTCCGAAAATCATGTATCAGATTGAGCCCTATGTTCAATTATTGATCCAATTCTAAGGAGATATTCCATCAATTATTGATTTGTTTCATGATATTGAAGTATATTATTCAAAGGGATTGTGACTGTTTGGATAACAGGGAGAGGCGGTGATATTTTGTCACATCAAATTGAGATTTTAAATAGCATCCATGCATTCAAATTACAGAAAAAACTTGCATACCATGACTTATAAGCAGCTCCTTAATATGTGGATATGCACATATACACGTAATAGATATGTGACACTATAGTTCACAATCACATCCACTATTTACCAGCAAATCTACATTTGTACTTGAATAGTATTACCTTCTCTGTCGTGCAGTGGAGAGGGTTCCGGAGATCACTTTGTGGTGTCGCAGTAGAGAAGGGGGCACAGGGGCAAGGAGTCCTGGTAGTTGGCATCGGCGATCTGGAGGCGAAAATCGGCGCCAACATATGTTTAGTCTATATTGGTGTAAGCTTGAATGAAAAGGGAAATGCAAATAAAAAACATATGAGCCTATAACATTTCATCCCAAAATATACCACTGATTATTGTCTAGTAATTTGTTTTCTCATCCTTCTCCAATTCAATACATATTAGAGCCCAACCATAATTCCATAATCTGAATCTACACTAAATAACTTGAGGTATTTATTCCAACACCCAGCAATTCAAGGTAGCTGCCCATCCAGCTTCTTTTACTTAGCATTCTACTGATAAAAGAAAAACTATCGTGGATCTCTAAAAGAAATTAGAGCTAGCATGACTAAAAATCCGATATGTTTTATTATTTCAGAATTAATTCTTGGCATGTAATACTCAATTGTAGCAGAAAATAGCAACAGATACTGATCATTCACGCAATAACAATCACAATTGAACTGTATGGTAAATTGATATGGATCATGTCCAAGAACCCGCTGTCAACTGGAATAGAAAATATGAATGAAATGCTAATACAGGGAAAGTGCTCAGTTCAGAGTGAGGTAAAAACATGACCAGGCAGCATTTTTGGGCAGAACCTCACAAAAAGCACCGGTTGTCCTACTATTCATAATAAGAATATATAATGTATTGTAATTCTAAAACACTAACCATGATTCTATTAAAGCGGTTGTCAACGTCCATGGCCGCCAGTCTCCATCCAGACTACAACACGCACAACAGTAACAGCCAAAATCCGTCAAAACAAACATAACAAAGAAGTCAGTCTCTGTATATGGCTCAAATAAGGGGATAAAATCAATATTCTCAAAGATATATGGCTGTCCTTAGAGAGTAATAGAAACCCTGAAAAAAAATTGTCCTATCAATAAAACAGGTAAAATAATACTCCTACCTGAGAAGCTAATAGAAAAGAGCATTCAATAATATACACGGTCGGCGTGGAGGGGCGCCGGCGGCGTCACGCGCGAAGGCGGGGTGTCGGAATCGACAGATCGACGGCGGCGCGCGGCGGCGGCGGGAGAGGGAAAGAGTGGAGCGGCGACGGTTAGGGTTAGGCGGCGACCGGCGTTGCGCGGGGTAGGGGTGAGGAGATGCGACGACGGCGGAGAGGCAGAGGGGCGGCGCGGGAGAGGAGAGAAATCGAGGAGCGGCGGACGCGGGATCGACGGCGAACTGGCGTTGGGATGAACTCAAGTGGGGAGGGGCGGCGCTGCGTGGGGCGTCGGGCATCGACGGGGAAGCGCGTGATTCGGGCGGAGATGGGGGAGCGCGATTCTGGACGGTGTTTGCGTGGACGATTTCAGCCGTTAGATTAGATGATTCTGGATCGTTGGATTTGATAATTCAACAACTCATTTTACTCATACTCATCCATCATTGGACAAATCCGATGGCTTACATTCATCTGCGTTGATTCAACGGCAAAGATCGGTCCTTGTCCACCCGCACTTTTCCTTTCCTTCCTCACTCTTTCCCCTAATCACTCCCGGATTTCCCTTTCCTTTCCAACCGCGCACACCGACACACCAGTACACGACCAACCAGCCCAACACTGTCATGCTTGTGGCACTCCACGCCGGCGAGACGCCGCCGCCGTGTCACCTGCTTTGACGGCTCCGCTTCTTTACGATGGCCTCTATCGACGACGCAGCTTCTCCGCACGCCGCTGACATCCACGGCGAGAGTCCGTCGCCGACACCAAGTCTCCTTTGTCGGATCGTCTCCCCATAACCGCGAGTCCGTCTCCTGCAGCCGCACCTGCCGTCGACTGTGTGGGGATCGATTTTGGAGATGAACAGTGGGCATGGCGGTGGCCGTCGTTCGTGCTTGGGGGGATACCAATTGCGAGCAGTGAGCCTGGCCTTCCTATCCCATGGGCCATGGCGCCGCTGATTCCCGGAACAGATACCCGGCGGCGCCCATGCCGCCCATCTCCTGACGTTTGCTTCCACGAGTCCCCACGCGCCCCAGCCCATGGCGCCCTCCTGTGTGTTAAAAATTTGGTTATAATTCGACATATTTTAATCCAAAATATTAAGACAATAAACATGACATACATAATTAGAAGCGATCTTGTGATAAGGCTAAACATAAACATGAGCATGCTTAAGATAAAATAAGCATAGCCATCGTTGACATTCACATAAGATTGAAATCCTATGGATAACATTGTGAACATGTAAATAACAAGAAGAAAATCAAATAAAGTTAGAATCTTATATCCAGAGAATGGTGCAGAAGATATTGAGGCATTCGTATTGCTTCCGTTGATGTTGTCTCCTCCGTTCTCTCAAGTAGAAGCCATGGTGAACCAGAAGTAGTGGAAGATGAAACGTTGTCGTCGAAGAACGAAGAACAGGAGCAGTCGCGCTTCAAGCGCTACCCAAAAACTTGATCGCCCACCTACCCGTGCAAGTTCTCAAGCGGACGGAGTTTCGGAGGCACCTGCTCGTCCCGTACACCTGTGCGCGCAGGTGAACAGAACCGGGGAAGGATTCTGCAGCTCAGGAACAGAGGAGGAGGAACTCGAAGTGCAAGAGTTGGGAAGAACTTCTCCACGTCCTTCACGTCGCTGCAGAGTATATACATATATATATATATATATATACCCATATGGGACTCCATGGTGCCCGGGCTCCAAGGTATAAAACACACAAAATCTCTTGAAATTTTTTTAAAAAAATAAATTGTGAGTATATACTTAGGTATATGAATTTGATTCATACCAATACCTAACAACAAAATAACTCAAACTCAACTTTATTTCACAATTCATTATTACATACCTAGCGAATTATATGCTTTGATGTTATATAACTAGAACCAAAATCTAACAAAAAGAAAAGTTCAAACTCAGTTCAAACTTGTTTGAACTTGTTAGTAAAGAAGTTAAAGTTCATACCTAAATATTTAAAAAAAATTCATACTCATTCAAATTGGGTATATACTCAATTTTAATCTTCGAGCCCATACTCCATGTAGCACCAGTTAAATTACCTATATATATATATATATATATATATATATGTGTGTGTGTGTGTGTGTGTGTGTATGCGAGCGCGAGAGTAACGTTCGGAGTCATCAACCGCCGTGTTTAATTTCGTAACCGACGCGCTCGTTAGTTCGGAATCAATTCACGGCGTTTAATTCCGTAACCGACGCGCTCATTAATACGAAATCAATTCTCCATGTTTATTACCGTCCGTTACAAAGTGAGAGAGAGAAAACAGCTGTAGCTGCCTGCCTCGCCTCGTCCCACCCCACCTGGCTGTCCGCACACCATCTCAACCGGTCAACAGAGACTTTTCACTAGTTCCGTATTTAAGTTGAGACCTCTTCACATAGATTTCCAAGGTGGTATTATTACCCATAGCACTTAATGTGGGCCAATGGAATTTATTAGGATTTAATTGGGCCTAACCCATTAATCTAACAATCCCCACCAAATTTCATGGCTCACAAGAAATGCTCTCGATTCTGATCCTGTTTGTTATACCAGTGTTTCGGTGGAGACTTTTAAGTTGGACATCCACCTAGGAAAAGAGCTACACCAGATCACAACTGAACAGTGGACTATGCCTTGAATTATCAGTCTTGTGCGATTCAGGTTTCACTCAAACCCTTAAATGGTACTGGACTATCGTTTGCATCCCCTCTGTTTGGAGCATATAAGTCATACTCCTGGCCTTTTCATGAGTATCTAGAGATCACCAAGATCTCATAGACTGTGACTAGCAGTCGGACTCATATAGGTATGTTCCTTCTAAGATGTTCTGTAGGCCAACATCTCTGCTTTATGAAAAGCCACTCGGATCACATTAAAGTGTATACCATCCTACCATACAGATTAGAAGAGAAGTGCATCATGAAGATAGGCTCATTTTAGGGTCTCTTCTCTCAGCTACACTATAGTTTGTTTTGCCATCCAAATTCACGGGATCTCCGATCACAATGGACAGGTTTCCACTATTGTCCAACTCTAAGTGGGTCTCAAGCCCATCTCCCTCGATGCACAGTCTATCACATTACGTGGTAGCCCCTTGGTAAACTGATCTGCCAGATTTTTTGCCGTCTAGACATAGTCGAATGCTATCACTCCGGAGTTTTTCTGCTTTCTGACAGACTTCAGTCTTCTTTTAACATGCCTGGATGACTTCATGTTGTCCTTCGAACTGTTCACTTTAATAATCACTGTTTGATTATCACAGTTCATCAGGATTGCTGGTACTGGTTTTTCAACCACTGGCAAGTCCATCAGGAGCTCACGAAGCCATTCGGCCTCAACTGTGGCAGTATCTAAAGCTGTGAGTTCTGCTTCCATTGTTGACCTCGTTAAGATTGTCTGCTTGCAAGACTTCCAGGAAACAGCGCCCCCTACAAGTGTGAACACATACCCACTTGTGGCCTTTATCTCATCAGCATCAGATATCCAGTTTGAATCACTATAGCCCTCCAGCACTTTTGGGTACCCGGCGTAGTGAATTTCATAGCTCATTGTCCCTTTTAGATAGCGCATTACTCTTTCAAGAGCATGCCAATGATCATCTCCCGGATTTAAAACAAACCGGCTCAACTTGCTCACAGCAAATGAGATGTCAGACCTCGTTGCACTAGCTAAGTACATCAATGAACCAATGATCTGAGAGTATCTCAATTGATCCCTTGCTATTCTTCGGTTTTTCCTTAATAGCACACTGGGATCATAAGGAGTAGGAGCTGCCTTGCAGTCACTATAACCAAAGCGACTCAAGACCTTGTCCACATAGTGAGATTGCACAAGTGTAATCCCACCCTCATCTCCTCTCAGTAGTTTAATGTTAAGAATAACATGTGCCACTCCCAAATCCTTCATTTCAAAGCTTTTGGACAGAAAGTCCTTGACCTCCTCAATCACATTGAGGCTGGTCCCAAAGATCAATATGTCATCGACATATAAACACAAGATCACTCCCTCTACCCCACCATAGCGATAGTACACAATTTGTCAGCTTCGTTCACAACAAAGCCAGCAGATGTAAGTGTATTGTCAAACTCTCATGCCATTGCTTAGGCGCTTGTTTGAGACCATACAAGGACTTCAACAGCTTACACACCATTCCCTTCTGACCTTCTAGTACATACCCATCTGGTTGATCCATATAGATCTCCTCCTCCAACTCTCCATTGAGGAAAGCTGTCTTAACATCCATCTGATGGCCGAGTAGACCATGAGAGGCTGCCAGAGCGAGTAGTACTCGAATCATGGTCAAGCGAGCAACCGGTGAATAAGTGTCGAAAAAGTCCTCGCCTTCTTTTTGGGTACAACCCTTGGCCACAAGCCTTGCCTTGTACTTTTCAATTGTATCATCAGGCCTAAGCTTTTTCTTGAAAAACCATTCGCATTCTACAGGCTTGCACCCATATGGACGCTCGACAACTTTCCAAGTACCATTAGACATAATTGAGTCCATCTCATTGCTTACCGCTTCCTTCCAATAGTCAGCGTCAGGAGATGAATATGCCTCTTCAATGGTTCTTGCAGTATCATCCACAAGATATACAATGTAGTCATCTCCAAAAGACTTTGCAGTCCTTTGTCTCTTACTCTTTCGAGTTGCTACAATGTTATCCTCCTCAGGATTTTCCTCAAGCGTTTGATCAATATGTTCTTCGGCACAAAGTGCTCAGGGGATAAAATAGGTTCTTGACTAGAAGTGCTAGGTGCATTTTTCATAGGAAATTCATTCTAAAAAAATGTGGCATCTCTGGACTCAGTAATTGTACCAACACGCATGTCGGGTAATCCAGAATTTACTATTAAGAACCTATATCCCACACTGTGGATAGCATAACCAAGGAACACACAATCTACGGTCTTTGGTCCAAGTTTACGCTTTTTGGCTATAG